CCCAGCGTCTCGCAGGCCCGGCGCGACCGCCTAGCGAAGGATGGTGCCATCGTCCACGCCGTCGAATTCCTGCACACCGAGAATGACAGCTGGGTCCACGCTGAGCTGCACCGATGGGACGACGTTATGACGAAACTACGCGTCTGGGAAATGACACAGTACGACCGCATTCTGGTGATGGACGGCGACTCGATGCTGCTCAAGAACCTCGACGGCGTGTTCGACGACCCAGGCGCCCAGCTCCTTGCCACCAAGCCCACGAACGAAACGAACCTACCCTCCACCTACCTCCTCGCATCCAACTCCGAAGTTTGGGACTCGACCCATTCCTTCCCACCCGGTCACGGCACCGGCCTGAAGAAGGCCGGCAAGATGAACGCAGGCTTCTTCATCCTCGCACCCTCGCTCGACGCATTCAACTACTACAAAGAGCTCCTCAACACGCCCAACTCCTTCGACCCCCGATACCCCGAACAAAACCTCATGAACTTCGCACATCGTTGGGACGGGCCGATGCCGTGGCGGGAGATCGCATACACTTGGAACATCCGTTGTCCGAACGACGTGGATATCGCCAAGGGGCTGGTCAGCGTCCACGAGAAGTGGTGGAAACAACCGTATATTTATGAGAATGCCAAGACGAAGCAATGGCTGTTGACGAGGCGGTGGGAAATGAAGGGCTGGTACGATGCTTTTGAGGGAGCGAACTTGACGCGTGTATGAGTACTTGCGATGGCATAGTAGCGAGGCGCTTTGGAGTTAGTTGTTTGGTGCGATAATACCCAATACCATATTTTGTTCATTTCAAGATCACATCATACATTTTTTGGCCCATGATGCATAGCTTAGAGTGATGTTTAGTTCACGGCGTTACTGTATCGAAGGGGCGAGTTAATGAAGAACTGAGGAACATATTATATCATGCGCTGTAAAGACATGCTGCAATGCCTATCCATGCGTGTAGGTCGACCCAGTCAACTTACATCTGCTTAGAAATGCTATCCATACGGTCCTGAAGCGATCGCATAGCGTCATTAATGATAGTCATCCGCCCCTCCGTGATTTCTGCTCCAGCCGGGATACGAGGCCTCAGTTCGGGCTTCTGCTCCATCTCCTCGGCTAATGCCACCATATCATCCTTGATCTTCTGCTTCTCGTCACGATCGATCCTGGCTTCTTCGATCTCCTTTTGGTACAACTCTAGTGCAAGTGTACCGATGTCACCAGCTTGAAGCGCGTTGTGGTACTCGAACCGTTTTCTTCGCACGTTGTTCTCTGCCTTGGCGGCGTTGATGGTGCTATCGTCCACGGCCTGGAACATCTTATCTTCGACTTCTTTCAGAGGTTTCAAAACAGATTCGACGTCACGATGTCGTGCGCTGTAGGCGGCGATTTGCTCATCTGCAGTACCTTTTGGCCGGTCTGGATCCTCTTCGCCGCTAGCAGTGGACTCATGAAGCTGGAATGTAAACGCATTTTCTTGATCCTTCAGTTCTTCCATTCCAGATGAAAGATCTTGTTCTGGAGTGACCTGGTCGATCTCTTCGAACAGCTCAAGCACCCGCTGTGTACTGAGGTTCGTCAGGCAGCCTGCACGCAGGAGGTTGCTGGACCAATACAATGACGTTGGGTAAGAGAGGTTCGCAAACGAGAAGGGATCTAAGTCCCCTTCGGCAAGCATAAGCGGATCCCACTTAGCTAGGTACTGGGGGTCTTTTTCAGTAAGCTTATTGCGGTCAAAGACCTCCCCTTCCTTTCGAAAACCGATGTAAGCATATCGTTCTGCCTCACCAAGACCTTCTAGCCCCTGCAACTCTCGGGATGTCACAGGTATGAACACCCCGTGCTTTCGGTGTTTCTTTACGAGGACAAAAAATCGATCTTTGGGTACCGCTTGGCCAAAGATGGTGGGTGTCATTCCTTTTTCTCCAATTTCACGAGGAGATGTGGTTGCTTCGTGTACTATGGCTCGAAACAAGTCACCTAGCTCGAGCCGGTCAATCTCCGCTTGTGAGAGGAGCCGAAAGTGCTTGGTGTTCGAAGCTTTAACAAGATAGACCGCCTCAATCCGCTCACCGGGGAATTCGTCAATGATTGGACCATCGAAGCCAGGAGGTATTGCTCGCCATAACAGTCTATCCATGTCGGCTTCGCTACGGGCACGTCTGGCATAAGGTGACCAGGTAGCGCGTCTGCCCCTACTAGGCCGAGGCCCCGCGTTTGTTCTTGCCATATCTGTCGTCAATATGCGTGTTCAGATGCTAAAGCCGTGAAGATCCGAAAACGACTTCCGTGGTTGAATTGGGTTGTAGTTACGGGTATGATCGGTGTGGATGCAGGGGGGTTCTTCGTGGGTAACACCGCAAGTATTTTCACATTTATAGTTTCATGCAATGGTCCGTGAACATTGCGATGCACATATTTTGGCTCAGTGAAGCCGATCGTGCTCTGTGAACGTGCAACGTCGCTGCAATCATATTGCTACTCGCTGCATAGCGAACCAACACATGCCATTCACTGAGTGAATAGGGTGGCGGACACATCGGCAACGTAATGGACCGAAAGGTAATTAGTCGCCTAATGTCATCGAAAACCGTTCCAATGCTCGAGTCCTTTTGTTGATGTTGACCCGCGGCATGATGTGTTGAGACAGTATCTACTCGCCACTTACAGAAGCGAAGCCGCAAGACACTAGAGACCTAGGACTCAAGTATATAAGACAAGCTTTAACCACAATGTAAAACTGTACAAAGGAGTGCATTGTTCTCGCTTACATCTACAGTCTCAAACACCTAGTCTTCCCTTCGCCTCAGACGTAGCCCCTCCATCATGGCCAACATTAAAGATTACTTCGAAGAAGTCCCTCAGTATGAAGCAGATGAGACTGAAAAGACCAGAAAACGAGCGCTCGAATGTGACGACGACAATAATGGCGATAATAGCGAAAGATGTGCAGCTAAGCAGGGCAGCAAAGGCGTCACACAAAACATGCGAACAAAGAAAAGAAGAACGACCGGAGAACCGCCTCCAGATATATATCAAAGCCGGAGAAAATTGTCTTCGTCGTTGGAAAAAGGTATGAAAGACGTCGGAAGTTGAACATTCCAATGGCTAACAACGATACAGGAACGCATGACAATTCTATCCGAGGTTCACCTCTGGAAGGCCCAGAAAGTGCGATCATGGAGAGCATGGTAGACATCGAGCATCTGTGCGCCAACGAAGCTGCCGAGATGTTCATCTTGAAGAGAGCTAAGACTGACCAGGTGGACAGCAGCCCGCCTGTAATGTTGATGAAGGTTCCATACAAGCTGGGAACGATGATCCAAAACCAGATCTCAACCGGCCTCAAATACCGGCGCGAAAAAGACATATCCATACCGAAACTGGACCAGGAATTGAGAATGAGCAGGCTGTCGCAAAAGTCCGTCGAGCATCGTTTGCAAGGATTGCCGAAGCTCAGTGGAGGCCGAACGCCGACTCCGCATGAAAGTCCTACGGCTGAGCGCTTGCACCGAGAAGCGCATGAGATAAATCAAAAGATGGAAAGGATTGACCAGAAAAAGAAAACTCTATTGCGGGACATCGAACTTGCCCGTAAAGCATGGGAAGGTGTTGCAATGGTAGTAGAGGAGAATTTGCAGGATATCTTTGTCCGGTGCGGGCTGTTTGAGGATGATAAGGCGGTGAGTGCTCCTCCCGTCGCGCAGAGGGTTGAAGGAATGAGGGTGGCGAGTAAGCCTCCCATCGTGTCACGCTTCGATGAAAATAAGGATTCTAAGCTTCTGCCTGGCAAGAATGAAGCCACGACGATAGCAGCAAATGTGGAAGAGTTGAGCGTTGGTCAGGCCATTGCTATCGTGAGAGAGGCCAAAGCTCGGAGAGAGAAGCACGAGGCTCAAAGACAACACGACGAACATCGTAACACTTTCCGACGAGGACTTCTCGCGGCACGCGTTGCTGCTGCTGCCGACCGACCGGATGCACCCGGCCGCCTCATAGAGGAAGAGTTCAGCCGCGACTATGTGCGCGCCGGAAGCAAGCTTGCTGAAGCGGTGACACGTGCAGAAGCGGCCCATGAAGCTCAGTTGGTAGCTGCAGCAGAAGCAGCAGTCTCCATCATAGGCTCGGACGATGACAGGGAACCAAACTTCCCATACGATCTTGAGGAATACGCAGCAGTCAAGAAGCAATGTCTTGACCAAGAAGCCGTCCAGGAATGGATCAATGCTATTGACGCGAGCTCCAAACCCAACCTGCGGCCTTTGGGGTACCTACTGCACATGGCAGAGAAGTGGAAACGGGCAGCAGAGGGATATGACGACGTCTCGAGCTCAGGAGAAGACCTCATGCCGAGTGCCGTCGTTGAGCCCCGCAGAGAGATATCAGAAATACAAGACTCTGTGCTGAAGCCGGCATCGAAAAGTAAGTCCTGGCGCACGGAGCCGTACTGGAGCTTCAGCGACTGCGCTGAGGGGAAGAAACGGCGACGGATCGACGACTGGACACGCAGGATACAACAACCCGTTGGATAGGAATCACTATAGACCTATTAATGAATATTCGAATGTATGCACGTTTCACCCAGTTCCACGTGTGCGAAGATGGTGATGGTGCGGATGAGCGCGATCTGTGCAATCTCGATCACGTCATCAATTGATGGCATGACACAACTAAGCTCAGAACAGTTAGCGGCTTGGCGCGCCCTTGGAGGGAAAGGAGTGCCAAACCTCGCGATCTCACGAGCGCATTTGCATCACGCCTTGCGCGTTGTACGAGCATTTATTAATATCGATACTACTTCCACCGTGGCTACAGCTGTTTTATACTACGTTTCTGCGTAAACCAATTGTTCACTCCTTGGCCGAATCGCAATCGCGGGATGTCCGCGAGGTGAAGAGCGACACGCAAAGGCTTCCAAATGCATGAAACCGGGCGCTCTCAGCTTGCGCATCCCAAATATCTTCTCCAAATCCAGGCCATCATATCTAGAGACCACATCAGGCCTTCGTGGCACCGTCGCTGTCGTCGACCGAGCCTTGACCAGCTACCTGTGTGGTAGCTTCCAATGGGTCAGTGCTGGTGTCTCTCTTGCGGTACAGCTGCCTCGATACATGGCCAGTAAGATAGCCATCGAAATCGCGCATACACAGTGACGCGCCGATTGCAAGCACCCCGATAGCGACAGCGAAGTAGTATACGTAAGCATACGATTCGGAGTAAGCATCGCTGATAGCTATGTTGGTGGTGCGAAGCAGTTCCGGTGTCATGCCATCGATTTCTAGAAGAGCTGTTTGGTTGGCGGTCGCGGCAGCTGCCATTAGCGCACTCAAGGAGCTTTCCGGTAGTCCATCTGCTAAAACGCGTTGCGGTACTATCGATGCAAGGTAGCCCGGCACTTTGTTCGTATACACTGCGATGAATGCGGCCGTGAAGATGGAACCGAAGATAGTGCGGGATGCCGAGATCACAGCTATCGCCGGTCAGCAATGACACTTTGGCGAGATTGTAAACGGAAGACTTACAGAACGCAACACCGAGGTCTTGGTCTGAGACTACATACTGTACGACAATCGCTGCGATGACCTCGCCCCACCCAATGGTCCAACCCGCCAGAAACGAAAAGGCAATCGCACGAGCTTTGTTTTCCACCGTGATGCTGGCCATTGCACCAAGGAAAGCGGTCATCCAGATCGAAGAGACCAAGATCTGGTATCTGATGTGGCCAATCCACGACATAAGAGGACCGAGAATGACTATCCCGCCCCAAAGGCCGAATGCAGCTGTTGTTGAAAGCCATGCGGTCTCCTCCCAGGAACTAACAGTGGAACCAAAGATATAGACAACCTGTTGTGGCCACATAACGAAAAGCGCGATATTGATGACACCGTAAGTCGCTGAAATGACTTCCAGACAGGTGAACCCACGTATGTCGCGGAAGAAGCGCATCGGAACGATCGGTTGTACCGGCGTTAGGAAGACCTCGTAGAGGATAAACGCGATAATGGCCACTGCACCCGAGAGCAAAAGACCGAGGATTCTTGGAGATGACCACGGCTGTGCAGGACCGCCCCAAGAGATGCCAAGTAGGAAAAGAGCCAGACCAGCTACCAAAAGGGCGACCCCTGTCCAGTCGACCTTCTTGAGTTCGGTGATCTTGCTGGACTTCTTGCCGTGAAGCTGGGTATAAGAAGGCGGATGGTAGAAGAAAAACCACAAGACAGCGCCGGGAACTGATGGTCGTTAGCATGTCAAGGCGCCGCAAGATATGCCGACTCACCCATCATCATAATGTATATGTAGAAGATCCATCGCCAATCAGCTACCTGAACCAATCGCAGACCAATGTATGCCCCAAAGCCGGTCGCAATCACATTTGGCACGACGACTAGAGCAGTACCAACATATTTGTACCTGTTACTTACGAGCTCGCCCGCTAGGAGTGGATACGCTGCTGGCACTCCAGACGCGATGCCCATAATAACTTCGGCTCCAATCAACGTCTCGATAGACTGCGCTGTGGCCGCGACGATGCCACCAATGATCGCAAGCACGCAGGAACCCAAGGCAAAGTTGCGGCGCCCAAAGCGATCGCTGAGTCGACCAAACAGCAAGAGGGAGATAGGCTGCGACACGGTCCATACTGTACTGACGAGGGCAACGTTGGCGCTTGGCCCGATGTCTGCGTTGACGGAAGATATCGCAGCAGCTAAGGCTTGGAACTGGAAATACGTCGCAAGTACGACGATTCCAGTTCCAGAGAATGAGCCAACGATCCTTGCACTGAAGAAGTAACCATTTTGTAGCTTGGAGACATCAGTCGAAAGGGCCTTGGATCGTAGTCGGTCCGCTTCTTCAGGATTGAGGGAAGTGGGAGATGTGCCGGGTCCTGGAATGTGCTTCTCGGACAAGGTGTCTGGTGGAGTACTGTTGCTGTCAAGGTGAGACATCTTGTTCAACGAGGATACTGCCTTGGGGTGAGAGAAGAAGGCGTGGGATGTTAAGATGGAAATGAAAATGACTGTCAGTGTATCTAAAACCAAGAGCTGTACAAAAACAGGTTAGTGTCCAGATCAGCATAGCTATGAGCTTGCCTTAGACTGCCATAGCTTCCCCTCACGCACAGTCGATATCTTGATCGCCAAAAGTCCCAGACATGCAGTAGCGCATGCAGCACCGTTCCAGGAACGTTGACCCGCAAGCGCAGTGGCCTTAGCACACAAGCCCATTCCAAGGGACTTCCGTTCTCAGCGAAGGAGATCGTCCATGGAAGTTGTCCACAAGAATGGCTTCGCCTCTTACAAGCTTTGAGGTTGTGCTCAACGCTCGGATCGGTAACTGTAGCATCTGTCGAGTAATGGGCAAAACATGTAAGGGCTTTCACATGTGTTCTAAGCCAGGGTACACTGCATGTCGTTTCGTGACTGTTGGGATATTGATACTAGCCGCTGGCGTGGCTAATCAGCCATGCATCAGCGACAGGGGTCTCTTGTGCGCCGATCCATGAGCTCTAGATCCAAGTGCTATTGATCTATGATTTTGACAGACTGGCGAAGGACGCAAGAATTCATCGATGAGAGGTAGCTATTCTTTATATGCTATCGTGTATGACCATGTGCTACGGCTCATCACGCACTGGACGCTCAATCATCCGCTCTGAATTTTCTCTGCCTCATTGCATGTGTCCAGCCGTCAGTCTTATTCAATGGCCTTTCGTTTTCTCATAGCTGACCTCATACTCATGGTCTATCTGTATGTTATGCGGCCCGTGTCGGCTCATAATGTTGCGCGTAGACCTATCATCGTCACCTAGAGATGAGGTACCATCCGGATCTTCTCCAACACCAACAGCTGCCTTGAGTCCTGTTCGCCCGCTCAGCCTCTTCGACAACATTGTCCTCTTTTTACTGCCGATACCCTCCTCAAGCTCCATGTATGCATCGCCAGACGCCTGATCGCCGGTACGCTTCTTGCTGCTGCGCAATGTCGATCCAAGGTCGAGCATCTTCTCGAGAAGGGGACGCAAGGCCGAAAGGTTTGCGAGGACAACGCCAAGCCCAAGCTCAGCATGCGCCCATGCAGCTACAGGCATAGCGTAGTAGAGGAAGTCTGTTGTTGCGCTGAGGTTGAGTGTTACGGTGAGGCGAACGATGGCTGCTGTTGATGCGAATATACCGAGGCCGAGGAGGGCGATGATGGAGATCTTGACGCGGAGATCGATCTGGACGTTCCAAAGGAGTGGAATGGGACTATGCCACGATCAGTCAAGACACAAGCAAATACTTCGGTAAGACTCACATGATTGCGCAAAACCAATCCGAGAAGATTGAAACCGCAGAGAGCGCAAAGCTGAATCCAGTAATGTTGCTTTGCGCCTTGCAGGTGCCTCCTTCCACAGCCTTCCAGTTCATTGCAATTGGTGTGCAATGGAAGAACTCGTATATAGTCGTCGAGGCCATAACACACGCAACCGCCGCCATAATCGCATATATTGACCACTCATATGCCTTTTTCCCATTGGCGATGCGGAGTAAGGTGAAGCAAATGGCCCATTTGACGGGGATGGCGGCAAGGCAGAACATGGTTTGCATGATGAACCTGTGTGAGGTCAATTACTGTCGAGCTTGCAGTCTGTGACATGGCAGAACTGACCACCACTGTATATAGTGAGCATGATTAACCTTGTTGATACACTGCTTAACTTACAAACATAGCGGTCTGCTTCTCGTTGACTGTAAGTTCGTCGTCCCTCTTTCCACCTCCTGTGAAGGCGATTCCAAGCATACCCATCGTTGAGATGATGAAAAGTGGCTGTTCTATGTAAGCAAATGTGATATTGGTAGACCTTGACATGTTCGTACAATTGCAGCTACCATAGACCAGTCATCCGGACCCCATGCTTTCCTAGAAAGTCGGACATGAAAGCGAAGCGCTCAAGTGATGATATCGAAAGGAAGCAAAACAAGGACGGCCAATGCCAGCGAGGGGGAGGTAGGACTAGGCATAATGCTCGATGAAGTCTCCTCTCCTTCCCCATGACTACTTTATGTGCTGACAGTAGGAAAGCACCCGTGCTTCGTGAGTGTCCCCTTTCATGGATCCCTTGACGAGAGATGTCCAGGAAGATGAACAATACTGCTACCATCTTGAGCTTCACGCACATCCTCTTCGGAACCTGAGACAAGATCTTGCCTCTGAATCTTGGTAATCCCTCATGCTGAGGCGATGATCCTGCCGAGGTTGCATCCTACTCCCAAAGTAGCGCCTTGCAGCGACATCCAAGTCTAACGACGAGGCCTGATGTAAATGTGACAGGTCGAGCAGTCAGTGCTACCAATGGACCGCGCTTTGCGCATGTGACATGCGAGGATGCGGCATGGTCGTGATATTTCCGAGTCCATGCGTCGCTGTCGGCCCCACGTCGCTTGCCACGCCCGCAAAGGATGGGGCATGTGCTACGGGAGGTCAACGAACCGAGAGAATCTTTGATGGCAACACGAGTGACTAGATGAGAAGAGGGTAGGGAAGACAGTAGCTGGTCAATAATGGGAGGGAAGCTTGAGGGGGAAGCCTGACGCACAGATACCTGCCCCGGGCGGGGAAGGCGGAAGGACGCCCCCCAAACGGGCTGTGGCGCGGTATCCTTGAAATTCGCCCGCTGCCGGCACATTGCATGCCATGCAGGCACAACTACAACCGGTATGGAGCTACAGTATATGCGAGAGCTCTTATGTTCTAGACAGACTTCAATTCGGAGGGCTAACAAGAAGTCCAGACGTTTCCGGAGGCAGTACCTGCGGGCTCTCTGAAGGACCACCTGATTGGACGTGCGACCCGATGCACAGCAAATTTTGCAAGACTCATTGTGCTGTCAAGCCACCATCAACGTTCAACACCTGTCCAGTTACCCACTGCGCATCATCGCTAGCGAGATAAACCGCAGCTCTCGCATGGTCGTGGGGGTGACCAAATTTGCCGCGAGGAATAGAGGCTTTGACCGCGTCCGCTGCGGACGACAAGGCCCCACCAAGCGCATCCTCGAGCATTGCAGTTTGCGAAACTGGCGAAAGACATTAGAGTAGTCCATGCGATACTGAAAAGGGCGACTTACATCCAGGAGCAATGCAGTTAGCGACTATACCTTCTTTCGCAACATCCAGCGCAATGGTTCGCGTCATCGCAGCCACAGCACCCTTGGACGCCGTATACCCAGCTGGAACGTGTAAGCCCAACGCCAAAAGCAAAATCATCGTATGTTTTCGCGTGGAATAACTTACTGAGGCCCTGCATACCGATGTTGGATACCATCGAAGCGAGATTTACGATCCAGCCGCGCATACCATTGGGCTGTGGCGCTTGTGCCTTGAACTGACGAACGGCGTATTTGCAGCCAAGGAAGACTCCTCGTGCGTTGATGCGCATGTGAGCGTCAAACATATCTTCATCGACTTGATCGATGGGTTGTGGGTTGCTGGCCTCTGTGCAGATGCCTGCGTTATTGACCACTCTTTTAGGGCAACGATATCAGTCACTTCTCCTACTTGATGGTATACATGATAGCTGGATGGATACTTACATATCAAGTCGACCATATATCTCTGCTGCTCGCGCAACGAGTGCCTCCCAGCTGGCGGCTACACTGACATCGGTCTCAACGAAAACGGCCCGCCCGCCTTTGCCGATGATCCATTCGTGTGTAGCAGTGTCTTCGCCCTTTCCAACAGGTCTAAGATCAGCGCACACGAGCAAGGCTCCTTCAACGAAGAACTGATGACAGATCTCCCGCCCGATACCTTGGGACGAGCCCGTTACTATCGCGACTCGGTTTTGCAGCCTCATGATGGATGCTTCGATGGGAGGACCAGTCAAAATGAAATGATATACAAGTTCGACCAGAGGGGGCTGTAAGGACGTGAAAGGTTGCTCAGATCGCAGAAGACATAGCAGCACACAGTTCGAAAACCAAAGTATCAAGAAGGTGAGGCGGGCCAGTTGCATGTATCCCTTCTTCTCCGCCGATCTAGCCAAGCCTATCCCCACCCGCGGGACATACCCATGTTCTTCCGCCTACGCGAAGGATCATTATCACATGCAGCACCCGGGATGGAGTATTCGCCAAACTATTGGTGTCAATGCAAGATTCGTTGGCATACACGCGGGCATAAAAATCAAGTAGGTTACGTTCGACTAGAGTGGGCAACTAGGCGGCGACTGTGCTGTCTCAATCTAGCACCAACATCGGCCATGACGAGACCTTTGGAGAACAAGTTAGCAATCATCACTGGTGCATCCCGCGGTATGTATGTCCCTCCATTCCGTGACCCCAATGAAGAGAAGACGCTGATTGAGCTTCAAAAGGCCTTGGGGCTGCTCTGGCACGCCATCTGGCTTCCAAGGGAGCGAACATCGTCATCAACTACACTTCGGAATCTTCAACAGACAATGCAACCGCTTTAGGTGAAGAGCTAGAAGCCAATCACTCTATCAAGACTCTAGTAGCAAAAGTTGATGTTACTACACCCGACGGCCCGGACCAACTCATCGATGCGGCGAAATCGGCTTTTAGCGACAACAACAAGTTCCAGATCGACATACTTGTAAACAATGCGGCAGTCGTCAATCCAGCGCCGATGGGCTCAGTCGCAATGTCCGACTTCGAAGCCACCTTCAACCTAAATGCGCGCGCTCCACTCTTCGTCTTACAGGCTGCACTGCCGTATCTACCGAACGACAGATCCGGTCGTGTGATCAACGTATCCAGTATCACAACCTCGATGGGATTCTGGTGGCAGTCTTGCTACGCTGGCACCAAAGGCGCTCTTGAAGCAATGACACGTGTCTGGGCCCGTGAGCTCGCCGAACGCTGCACAGTCAACTCCATCAATCCGGGTGCGATCGCGACTGGCATGTATACGAGCCTCCCAAAGGAGATGTTGGAGAGGGCATGGTCGCTCAACTATATGGCACCTTTGGCTGCGACGAGAGAAGGTATCGATTCGGAGGAGACGATTGCGGCGGCAAAGGACCTAGGTGGGAGACCGGCGTATCTGGAGGAGGTCGCTGGGGTTGTTGGGTTACTGTGTATGCCTGAGGCTGGATGGGTTACCGGTCAGGTCATTGGAACCAACGGTGGTGGTGTTATGACGAAGGGGTAAAATACGATGGCCACAGTGAAGATACGCAAGTTCGTCAGCGGCTATACGACTGTGCAGAAAGTACAGTGGACTAATCCAAGGCATAGACGGGTCACTGCATGAGCTATCAAGCTTCAAGTACGAGTTTCATGTGTGGTAAATGCTTCATCGCACTACCTTACAGTTATGCACACCTTTTTCATTCGCTGGAAATTTATGATATGCTAGAGACGTGAACTCTAACGTAAGCCGTGTGTAATATGCAGTGCGTCCAAAGTCTCGGGACAATAGACGAAGATAGCAAGCCGAGCGCCACCCATTAACTCAAAGCTTTGCTAAACACTGAAGAAAAGAAACGAAACCGACCCTTTAGGGGTGTGAATTCATGAAAGCCGACCAGACCGAATGGAAAATGTGTCAAATCCTCCGAGTGCGTGATGAAGCCCTGAAATCGCAGTAAATACTGGGACATAGGATACAGCGGAACCGAGAATGTAGCGGATATACAGCCAATATTTCCAAGATACGTATGCGATGCGGCCAGTGTAAGCATCGCTGCTAAGGGAGTGGAGTGCGCCGACGTTGATCAAGACGGTTCTTGGCCCTGCGAGTCTCTAGCTGGGCCCTCGAAAATGCGCTTGTCAGAGTGTTGCACAACTTTATCTCCTTGTCCTGGCCACGGTACTGGCTCGCCTGGAAACTTCTGACGTCCCTGTGAAGCTTCTTGTAGCTCATTTCACGAACTTGTGCAATTTCAAGTTCCATCTCGACATCGTCCCGCTTGCGCTTTAGGTTCCTCCGCTCGCCAGTAGTTGACCACCGATCAGCTTCGACCGTCTCATACTCCTCTTTCGCCTGGTAAAGCATATCCTCCTTCTGGCAAACAGCTGCTGCTGCAGACTTCCAGTTTGCATGAGAAACAGATTTCGCTTTCTGTATTATTGAAGAGGGTGATACGCCGCGGCCATTGTCGGGGATGGAGAATATGGACTCAACAGGCTCACTAGCCACCAGAGGTGGTGCGTTAGCTGCCTCGATAGCGCGACGGTTGCCCTCCACCAGCGCTTCAAACTCTTCGAGATCATCTTGTTGGTTTGATGTCTGTCCCGAGGAGGTACTAGTTGCCTGGGCGGGAGGAGAAAGTAGTCGTCGATATTCATCCTTGATGTGTGATAGCGCTGTTCGCTGCTCTGGAGTCAGCCTGGAGGGAAGCGGCGCTCGCAGGAATTTTCGGTCGTATCGCGATTCTACAATCGCTCGCAATCTAGACATCTGTGCCTGCATTGCCAACAACTGCTCTGTCGATTCCGCCTTTAGCCAGCCGCATGGAAGGGAATGGTCGTCGAATCCTAGGGTATGGAGACGACCTGGCTGTACTACACTCCACCCTGATAGTTGGAAGTCGTCATCCTCGTAGCCACCAATTTCGAGCGGTTTTGCGACAGAGCGGAACAAGAGATGATCTTCGGAAAGAGTATCGTAGTCGTGGCTGTAGTTGAGGTCCAGAGCGACGCCACAGCGGCCCAGAAGGTCACTCAGTGAGAGTCCGTCAAGATACTGGCGACGTCGACGACCCAGCTCTGCGACTACACAGTATTGTTTGTCTACACGAACGACCACTGTGGGGCGCCATTTTCCTAGCATCAGGCCCTCGCTAGTCCGGATTGCCTGATCACCGCCGTTGTTGATCAGGCCGGGATCAGAACTAGTCTCGACGATGTATGTCCAGCGTACCTGACCAACTTCGTACTCTTTGCGATCACGCGGTCTAGCTGGACGATTCATTCGATCCGTAACTGGTGTGACACCCACGATGACTTCGTCTGAGTTCACTTGCTGAAGCATCGATTCCCAGCTATTTTGACCAGCTCTTGATAAAAAGTGATTGACCTCGTACCTAAGCCTCTCATGCCTGTCGGGAAGCGGAGGGTTTTGAGGCAGGTCAACTGGGACCCATCCATCAGATCGGGGAGGGTAATCAGGCCGATAACAATCGTTGTTCTCTGTGAGAGATTGAGCGCTCGATCCTGAAGTGGAAGACAATGATCGAGAAGTCTTTTGCGAAGGATGACGTGCTTCTTGCGCGGTGTCGTTGTTGGCTGACGCAACGGCGCTGGAATGATCCCGCTCGGCGACTGTGTCGACACGTCTGTCCGAAGGCCGAGTGGATTCAGACGTTGCAACATTGATCTTGGCATACGGACCTTCACGGCGTTAGTTGATGTAAAGCTACGACCGGACACGTAAGCCGATAGGAATAGGACAGACTATCGAGGAGTCTGGTCCACGGTAAACATACCAGTATGAGGCGGTTCTGATGACGAGCTGCGAACAGTGTTCTTCTGGTCAACATCGACGCTTGCCTGAACGCCGTTGGCTGTATTAGTACCGGAGAAATTGATGGTGATATTACTCGAAGCTGCTAGTTTTGAAGAGGGGGAGTTGTCGGCGTTAACGCGCGAGGCTTGTGGAGAGACTGCGACGGGTCGTGGAGAGACACGGTCGGCTTGCAGGTCAGCTTGTTTGTCGCTCGATAAAGGGTCGAGTATAATACCACTGGAAGTTCCAGACTTGTTCGCCATGATGTAGGCCCGATATTCGATGGTTGATGGCGTTTGTGTAGGACACGGCGGGGTCGGGAAGCGCCTTGTCTTGCAGTAATGATATATCAGCCGCGACCGCAATGACCGCAGTCAGCGACGATGGATCGTACTGCAAGTTCAAGCTTGCGCGTTGTGGAGGTGTCGTTTGGATGGCGGTGCTGTGGGGGAGCTTGCGTGACTCTGGAGGAAGCTGTCAGATCAATTGGAGAGTAACCACGGGTAGGCTCACAGATCACGAGAATGCTTACTAGACCGATTAGGAAACACTCAGCAGAGCGTTTGCGGCTTAAGCCCAATTGGGAGACGAGTAGAGCATTCACTATGCCTCGCAGAGCCGTAATGAAACGGCAACAAAGCCCGGATGGTCATTGTGAGTATCGCAAATCTGCTGGGTCTGGATGACAATCCCCCACTGACGAGAATATGTGTACTCATGACATTCCTTCACTCCAAGAAAGCGGACGTGAATGAGACCTAGAGATCGTATCGCAAGCTGGTGAGGCCGACATCCGTTTGAATCTGAAAAGACGATCTATACACGCAACAATAGGAACTACGGCGACAGTTGCAAAGTCCAGACAAAGACACCGGTCTCTTGGCGCGACAGCGAATAAGAAAATTGGAACAAATACGTAGAGTAATAGTGAGGCCAGTAAGCTAGAGCCCGCTAGTACCGCACAGTCGTCACTGATACGTGCGGACAAACTGCGACCACGCACGGCATCCTACCTTTGTTGCAGCTTCCTACACACGAGCGTTGGCCAAATTCGATACGTGGCAATACTTTCCAGCCTATACAGTGAGCTACCTGTGAACGAAGTCGCTGCACAAACAGCGCCAGGACCATCGACATACGGAGACATGGCCGCACCCATATCAACATTGCCAATTGGCACGACGGCAGCCTCGTCTCTGGCTAACGGCGGTGAGTGCTCAAAGGCAGATCCCCGGGAACTAGAAGGCGATACACGCGCCCGCGACAGTTCTGCGTCGGTACCGAATCTCATTCGACGCGAAATCGAGACGAGTGAACACAATTCTGAAAATCCTTCAGAGCTTTCGAAAGGCTCCCCAGTCGGCGCGGTTATGAGAGCAGATTCTGTAGTCGATAACTGGGAGTCTCCAGACGGGCTGAACTCTGAAGACCTGTACACACGAGGGGCCCCGCGGATATTCCAGCGAGAGTGCAGCAATGGGGACAAGGGCGGTCTTTGCTTGAAGCTGTCGTATGAATTCGCTGAAAGGATGAAGGAGAAGGTCGAAGCAGGCCGTCATTTGCGCGCTTTGACCGACGCAGTGGCTCAACGCGCGGAGGACTTGTCAAATGAAGAAAGTCGTCTCAAGGAGCTCGAAGGTGAGCAGCAAGAGAAGCTTGTGGAGATGCTTGCAGTTGTTAAACGGAACGGCCGAAAACCCACTCAAGACGAAATGCTGGAAGTTCGGGCACTTTCAGCAGATATCAGAACCGCTTGCCAAGTGCAGGATGATCTGAAAGCTCAGCGAGATTATTTGCCTGAATACTTGCAAAACTTCAGACATATATGGCTTGATCTTGTGCGACAAACAGAGGCCATGGAGGAAGATATCCTTACGAGATCCAATCTTCTGCCAGAGTCAGAGGGAAAGATCCAGCCGCCTTGGAAGATCAATCCTGAGAAGCCCAACCAACCATCACTCAACCCCAATCATGCCCAATGGCCGCTCTCGGTACCTAAGACGGACAGAAGCTGTTTGAAAACCGCACCAGCACCAACACGCAACCACCGTGAGCTCACACGCGCACGAATCGAGATGAAAGAGCGGTCTAAACGACGTGCATGGCAAGCAGCCCACGAGAAGCATGAGGACCATCGCAAAGAATACAGGCGCATGCTAGAACAATACATCAGTCAGCAAGTGAACCGCCCAGTCGTCGACTTCCAAGCAGAGTTCTCTCGACACTGGCTTGAAGGTTGGCGCCCTCTTATCCGTGGCCTCGACGAAGCTGAGAAGGCATATGTCAAAGTGATGGAAGAAGCTCGAGCTGCTGATGTCACGATTTATGATCCTGAGGACGATGATGACCCCACCATTGCATACGACATAGACTTGTGGGACCAAGTGTCGATAAAACAGCTCGACCGTGGTCACATTGAGAGATGGCATGCTGGTGTTGCCGCTGGTGTCTATGGACCAGAGCAGCCTGCTGGGAAGGACGAAGCCGAGCTGGAAAGGCAGGCCAAGGCGCATGGGCCGGGACAGTTCGCGGCGGATGACCTGGATGTGGCCGCAGCTACAGCTCCCAAGATGCCCCCAGGCGAGCTTTCTGCCATCAGAGTTGAGTCCACGATGGCCCCGCCAGCTCTTTGTGCCCCAGAGGAAACGCCTACTTCAATACAGAAGATCGAACAGATTCTCACCGACGTCCAGAGGACTCTAAGTCGTGCCAGTGAGCCGACTAGCCAGCAAGCGAATGGGCCCGGCCTAGTAGGACAAAGAGCAGAAGGCGAAGCTGCCATGAAAGACAACCAGCGGAAAACGAACGGAGGTAGTAATCTCACCCCGAATGGAATCCTTTTCGGTGCAGGTGGTCAAGCATCTCTAGCGGAGGCGACAAGGGAAACTTCGCCCTTGTGCTCGCAGACTCCAAAGCGCTCACTGGAATCCATGGTTGAGCGAAACCCTGCGTCGCACACGGAAGACCGGAAAGAAACACCCGAAAGAACGGGTCTTGATTTGACACCTATACACCCCGAGAAAGGCTTAGGTAGCAGGGCGCAACGAAGCGACATCGGCACCTCCGTCGACAGAGCTTTTCAGACACCAGCAGAGAATAAAGACCAGAGCATTATTGCCAGTGGACATGATGCGATTGAACGCATCAACAACAGTGCAAATACGACTGATGTGTCGGCCGCACACTCTCAGTCCGACGGAGTAACGACAAGACTGGCAGAAGAGAGAACTAGGGGCGGGCTTGGGTCAAGCATGAGCAACGCGACGCGCATGATCATTGAGAAGGCAGACTACGGCGACAAGATAGAGAGACACCATCAACCTGTTCTGACGGATGCAATCGCCGGAGATCCCGCGAAGGTGGCCAAGACGTCATCAAAACGTAAAAGGGCCGCGGTAGAGGAGGCGGTCGTGGTGGAGCCGCGAGAAAAGAAGGACAACGAGGAGACGGGTTGGAAGTGGAAGATGGATCTTGAGGAATACATGGCGAAGTACAACATCGAGCCGCCCCCAACTTCTAAGAAGAGAAATCAGGATTACTTGCTCAGCAACCGCGACATACTCATCACCGACAGCGAGCGCGCCTACGGACGCAAGCGGAGACGCATTGATGAGTGGGGTAACAAGGTTCGAGGCGGTGATTGTTGAGCATGCTCATCGCAATTACAACCGCCCGATCCGGGGTGGGAATGTCCATGTGGTCATGAAATTGTCACAGCGTCAGGCCATCGTAGCGCTCCGTCTTCGCTATGTTCAGTGACAGCGACGAAGAACAAGTCGGGACTCGCAGCAAGTGCTCTTAGTAGTAAGCGTCGTGGTAACAAATCGTTCATCGAGCAGGATGCTGGAGGACGAGAAGGAGAAGCCGCTGGCATCATATTGCAAAGACACCACAAGGGTGGTAGGGGGGGTATCGGGATGTATCGAAGAGGCTGATATCATTCATGGGCGTTCGGCGAGCGAATGGGACGCGTGCGTCGGGGTATCCGAGTTGAACGTGAATAGGTAACGATGCTCTGCGAAGGCGTTTACGAGACAGCTGTTGACTTGGTTCAATAGGCACCTCGTGGCGTACACGAGCGATACCTAATGTGATCTGTTTATTTATTAGCATAAAGTGTCAACGTGCGGGTCTCTTGTGATGGTACCTCGTGACAAACACGCTTTCCGAATGTGATGCCTGCATTAGGGGCTGCGGTTGGGACGAGCAATACTCATAACGCTGTCCATGCTGAGATTTAGCAGACACGGATGTAGACATTTCTGTTCTGCATAGATGCGGCTGGTTGGAGATGGGATGCGGCAAAAGCTGGAGTGTTCCAAGGTTGGCTTGACGGTTGGCGCCCATGAGCTCCCGAGTTCACAGCAGTAACCATAGGATGTGGCCCAAGCGCCGCAGCTTAGCTTTACACGGTAAAGCTCCAGAGCGCGTCAGCCTCCAACACCACAATGTCTCAGGAACTCAGC